ATGGCATCGAAAACACATTCCAAATCTTCACCTTTTAAACTAGAAACCTAGTTAAAAGCTTGTATCAGGAAAAAGGCGTTAAGCACGCCAGACAGATTGATCCGACAGTAGCACAACTGTTTATCCCCGGTAGTAGTAGAAATCTCTTGGATTTTAACCCTTTCGCTGGAGGCGTTTTGTAGAAGAGTCAATGCACGAACACAATGCGCAGAGACGCTTTTTCATGACTGATTATCGAATGTGTTGCGTGACATAATTCAGAAACAAAATCAAAACGATTCCTCCACCTGTGCTTAGGTAAGCTGCCACCAAATCTAGTTAATCAGAAATCAGATAAAATTTCTCAAATTCGAACATTTTGGGAAATGACTGATTAAAAACGTCAATGTCGGTTGTTTGAGTTTATCACTGCCAACTAACAGGAGGTGTTTAAAGTGAATTGCAGCCCAGATTAACGGGAAATATGTCTCAGCCTATTCCAAATATCGCCACTGCTTACGTGTCCACAAAGAAAGGGTCGAGGAACCGGACATCCTTCTAAGGATAACGTAAGAATACTGTAACAGGTGAAACCACATTGGAGACGGAACATAACGGCTGCCATTTCAGATCTGCTATTGAGAAGAATTTCGGTGGCTGCGGTCGCATAAATGCTCACTGAGAAACCGAAGACCATAATCTTTGATCAAAAATCATCTAACAGTGCCGATCACGCGGTCGTATTTTTCAACAGCCGACTGTGTTTTTAGGAGTACCTGGAGGCCATTTTTTGTACTGTTCAGCAAAGTTTGTTACTTCCCTATCAAGAGTACATCCTACTCAGTTTATCTGCATAACCCTAACACAAAACTTCGGCCCCTACCAACAAAATAAAATGGACTGAGATGGGGATTTGCGCAGAATTGTACATTAAAACGGTCAAATGGAACCTACAGTTAGCCAGTGTTTAGTCCATAATGTGAAATTCTAAACTGTCTGGCCTGAAAAGACCGCGGAATTACTTTATTGATGTAGTCCTATTGGGTAAACAACCAGGTATGTTTTCAAATCAGTGTGACTGTCGAACATATTTTTATTTGCTTACCAGCCAACGGAACATATAGTTGTTTTTGGTGTCAGAGTTTCTGAACCCACACTAGAGACACACCAAGCCATTCTATTCTCTCGCTTGTTTTGGCAAGATAAGAAAGACTTAGATATGTTGTTTTTCTGGGTCGCGTGCTAATAGCTCAGTTATTGTTAACATTAAAGGGCTTAAGTAGCCCATGTTACATTGTTCCGATTATTAATTTGCTTGGACAAGTAAACAGGATAGCACTTATCTCAGATAATTTTGTTTTGAATGACAGTATGTAAAAATCGTGTATCCCATGTATGCACCGTAAACAGATTTACGGAAAGTTGTACGTCCGTAACATAAACACCAATACGGCACCTGTGTAACTGGTAAATAAATTGTTAAATTCTCGAAAGAAATTGCAAATATTACCGTGTCCTCTTTGGGAGACACCGCTCGAGCTAAGTGACCAGCTTCCTACAAGGCTCTTGAAGAATGTCTACTAGATCTAACGGCTTTCACAGATTTCACTTCTGCAATTCATATATTTATAATGCAATTTGAAGCATACTGACTTCAAAGCTATTTTCAGTCGCCACTGAATTTGCACATTTGGTCAGATTTCGACCTAATCAGCCAAAATGATACCAGTAGATAAATCGGAATAAGCTGTTTCATGAGAAGGCGCAACAGTCACGTGTATTTTCAGGGAAATAAGTGGTAATAGGTGTTCCAAACGCCTCATTTTAAGGTTTCTCTTAAGGCATCGCAACCTGTAGAAAAGATATCGTTGACCTGGCAACCAAACACTCAGTGCGATAAGTAATCCCAAAGGTTGTTGGGTAACATTCTCTCCACTGAGATGAACTCCTCAGATGGAAAAATTCCGAACTAGCGTTCTGATGATTGCATGCGTTCGCTTTGTTTGTATTCAGATTGACATTTCAGCGCCGATTTCCGTTAATATTAGACGAGTCCTTTAGGTCTGACTTTTTACTGTTAATTTTAGGGATCATATTAAAGCCAGGATGTGTTTGGAATAGCGCCGCAGTTTTCGAGTGGAATTCGACTGCTGTTCCTTAGGGACCCATCACCATATAATCGAGCACTTTGCACATATGACACAGCCATCCCTGAGCACCAGGATTTGAGGCTCACTCTTTTCAGCTAAAACACATACCAGAAAAAGTTAGTGATCACCCCTTATGACTGGCGTCCTGTGAATTGGTCACCCTATCAAAACCAATTTTATCTTGTAATTTAAACGGGGTAGAATCGGTCAATAACTCTACAGTTTGTAGAGGTATTATTGTTTGTTTTTAACATTATATGTAAATAATCGAATTTGGTCCTAACCTTCGCTCGGCTTAAATGATCGTTTTTGGTTTTGCACGCATGTATTGTACCACTTTTGGTGTTATTTTCGCTGTTTCTTCTCTTTCTAGATCTACTGCCTTTGGTACCAAGTCGGGGTGATAAAATATTCATGCGAAGACAATTGTGTCATCGAGACAGCTTCGGACAGTTTGGGATCAAGCTGGTATTGCAAGTTGGATCGCCTGCAATGCGTAGACCGGTTTTGTGTGGGACGCTTTTGGACACGAAAACATCAGTCAATTTGAGCTCTAATAAGAGCGAAACTCGAGTCCAGTGCTTCCCTTGGCTGTGGACTCACCGGAATAATAACGCCAGAACAGGAACACGGCCGTTCAAACGAGAGTGGTGTGGCTATAAACAAAACACCTATCCCGCAAAACCCTAAAGTTGCAACCAAAAATCTGCCCAGTGGGGTTTCAAGTGTGTGCCACGCTACCTAACTGGGAAGTCCTGACCGGGAGGTCAGTCGATCGTCACAACCAGGACAGTTACTGTGTCGTCGTTCAATGAGTCGGGCATACCAATCACATCGCTCAAGTGTGAACACGTTCGCCTGTTCAGACGTGGAAATTCGGATGCCCCAAGATGCGTTGGTGGAGTAGTGGTTACACGCTCACCTCGCACGTCAGATGTCCGGGTTTCAAATCCCGGCACGGCCATTGGATATGCTCTGCTGATGAGCTCTAATAAGAGCGAAACTCGAGTCAAGTGCTTCCATTTGGTGTGGAACCACCGGAATAATTACGCCAGAACAGGAACACGGCCGTTCTAACGGGAGTGATGTAGCTATGCACAATTTGAAATAACAGGTGAAGTAAGAGAAACTAAAAGTAACATCTCCCTATAGACGGGATATGATATCTGCTTAGGAGGAACATGCCTAGTATTAACACTGTCCAAATTAAGAACTCATGAGTCATGGGTTGCATGTTTCACTCTTACTTGCTTGAACAAAGAGTGAATTCCAGTAGCATCCACGGGTACGAGTATGTCAGGCAAATACTGGCCAATTTAAAGCCCTTTTGCATCAGTTCATACGGTGCTTGGTTGCTTCTGAGGAATGGAAATGTCTGCAGATTAGGAAAGAGTATCAGCCGCTTGTCGCTTCTGAATGTTACTGTAATGCTGTTTGTGGTTTCAACGCATTTACAAGGTCATGTGAAATACGAGACCTTATAATGAACACATGATTTGCAGATGCACACAGTGGTCTTATTTTCTTTGTGGAAGTGGCGCTACATTTTTATGAGAATATGCGTAAGGAGGGACACTAAGTAGTCTCAAATTTATAAGAAAGATTTGGAGATTACGCACTTCAGCCACAAATTCAAAGCCAAGTTACAGCAATCTGCTCCTCATTGCTTGTGTTGGTAACACTTGTTTGTTCAAGGATCATACCGGACAGCCTTTGCGATAGGTCAACTCATTTTGTTTATTCGTCTCAAAATTGCAGGTCCAACGGAACACAATAGCAGCCACGTTCTGGTTTGGGATGAAACGCCACCTTTTCAGAAAAATGAACACCAATTATTCTACAGCATTAATGTGATTCCCCATCTGCAGTGGTGTCAAAATCGTTTACTGTTCTGCAACACCTCAATAAAATTACAATTTGACCTAAATTTATTCATCAAAAAGCACATTGTTATGGAATAATTAGGTTTTCTGAATTACAGGAAAGCCACAGAACATTTTTATTTGGCTGAAAAAACGGTATAACCAAGGGTGTGCCATGCATATCCTCTCGACGAATTTTCTTTATATTATATAAACACCTTTTTTAGAGGTCAGTTCAGGTCTAGTGTATGCTCATCCCTGAAGCTATAGGCGGGATCCTTTTAGCTTACGAAATGACCATCGTTTGCATAGATTGGCCGGGTGGTATGGAGTAGAGACATTGAACGTTCGAGGGCGGGAATTACATGTTGGTCAGGAACTCGTTGGTGCGTTACCTACTGCAAACAAATAGCCAAGCTCGGCCACCTAATCAGCATCAAAGGGACAAATAGTTGTTTCTGTTGTCGTCGACTGCAAAGTTTATTTGGCACTGTTAGGTGCTGCAAAATTTCTTGTAAATTACTGCAACATGGTTCACCCCACGTTGGGACACTGTGGAAACTTTGTTCACACGAATCGCTGCTGCTGCGTCGTCTGCTTGATGCATGAACTATCCGATTATTCCAAGCATCAAAACATCTTGAAAATCAAAACACAAACCAGATGTTCTGAAGTTATGTACCAAAATATATATTTGATCTGAATTTTTATCACTCGCAAGCATTTACTTCACAAAGAGATTCTTACACAAAAGCTAAGGAGCACCACCGATGGAGATGTAGAGCTGTTTTAGGAAACGGCTTCCCAGTTCCAGAATCAGCATGCCGCTTGGTTGGTTCCGGATAAGATGAACTGATTTAAATGACCATCAATTGCCTGAAAGATAGATGGATGTCAGTACAAGATTATGGTTAGATGAAGGCCAAATAAAGACTTGAATTAGTTGGTGATTATTCTATAACAACGAGAATATTGGCCGACAATGTGCTCACCTTTTTGTCTGTGATGATTATGTTTGATGGTAGCGTTGAAGATAGCTTGATGGAAAATAGCCTAGATCTCCATTGCACGTGCCATACCACCACACCGGATCCGTGTTGTCAATTATCTTCACATATTGTCCTAGTCTACAAGGTAGAAGAAAATACCGACAGACGGAGCCCTTTTAGTACGTACACCTGATTAACCCGGTTGCGAAATGTGGTAGGTGTTATCATATATTTTTGGCGAAATTCACTAAAAAGTAGACGACAAAGTAAGTTAAATTCATATTGACATATATATATACTAATGTCGATATTGCCTGCAGCGGTGACATTATATAAATCTTCCTACAGTTCATCTAAGTTTTCTTCGCATCAGCGGTCCCTCCAACAATTTGACTTGATTCGTGATATTTCGTGCGCATCAACATCGTTTTCTGGTCTGTGTGGGCAAAATAAATTATTCGAAATTTTCTTCGACATTATATATTGTGTCATTCAATAACCTGCCGTGTATACAACTACAAGATACGAAACAAAACAGACGCACTTAAAATAAAATTATTGAAAAGAAGCTACGCACAAGAATGATGAATGTAGTCATCTTCGCAATATTTTGGTTTTATGGGGAGATTCAAATGCATCTAGCTGAGTTCGTCCTGTTTTACCTTATTTTTTACTGTATGCTGAACAAGTCACTTCATCTTTTATTTGATACGATATTAGAGATGTCACAATGAAGTAACTAGACACAACGTTACTCAGAAAGTTTTTGAAAACACTCCGACAACTGTATCACTTGTCTTAGGGCCCATCAGCTAGGTGTAGTGTCTGAGATTGTGTACAAATTCTGCGAGTGACATCTGTCCTCACGCCAGAATGGATGTAACTGGGGCTTAACCAAATCATGGCTGACTGTGTCGTATATTATCATATAATTCCAATGAGTGTGCCACATAAAGGTCCCTCATTCTTCAAGTGATAGAGATTCAGAATTTTTGCATCAGTTACTTTACTTCAGTTAACTGAACTTGAAGAAAAATCCGTGCACTGCAAGTGGTTTGGTTACCGCTACCTGCTAAGTCTTGCTCTTTAATAAAAATCATTCTCCGGAGAAGCGACTTTGGGATATGCATTGTTACATCTGACGGATTTACCGAGTTGATTTACTTATTACGTTTGCGTTTCCCTGGTGGCATTAGGCAGTGCTTTGCCATGATAACGTGACGAATGGGACAGATCCAATGGGCACTAACGAGAGGAATCACAACACGCTTGAATTGACTACACTGCCAGTTTGGCTAGGAACAAATTTTGAATGCGTTTGTCCCACATTTATAAGCTCAGCTAGTGTTTGGATTTAACGTTTTCTGCCCGCGTTCTTTCCATCGCCAAACAGTTTGCATTTACGCGAGTGAAATGTAATAACACCGCGACTAAATGTCATTCGAAATTTTGCGTAACTTTTCAAATAAAAGTACACAGGTCGGTCTGGACAAGAGGAACTAGTGACGCAGTCCGCGTATTCAGTGCGGGTATATAATTGTAGCATACCGATGCCTCCTACTTGAGTAAGTTACTTTCAAAAAAAGGGAAGGCAGTTTGTGATGGTTCGTACAAATATACGGACGTTTTGACTTACCGTAGTCGTATTTCATCCGATCGCCGTGGTATGTACTCCCTAGCTACGCAAAACATAGTATTGTCCTCAAACTGAAAACGATAATGGACATTCGGTAATTGAATGACAATTGTCCGATGCATGTAGTTGTCCTAGCAACAGGCAGAATAATGTGAACGGACTTATAAAACTGTCCGATGACGAACGAAATTGAGTTATATTTAGCTTCGTCGCCAATCCGTTGACGGATTGCAACAGACGATTATCTGCAAGTCAGCTGGTAGTTGATTAAGGCGGAAAGTGAAAATAGCTACGCGACTGCGGATAAGCTTACAACTTTAAGAGATCAAGGTCACGAATTATCATTTGTATTTCTGCTGCAACCTCACGAAAAAATTTGGCATAGACTTTCATCGGTTAAGTTCGGGTAATCGTTTTCGCTTAATACTATACTATCCGATTTTCGGACGGATAAACTTAGTTGCTGACTTATTGGATAATACAACTGGTACATTCTGAGGCAGAATTCCACCAAACAACTACATCTTTTGCGTCTGTAGAATCTCGTTTTGAGTTGAATCTGAATCATTGTCTTATTCATCATTGTTCGAAACGGCACCCAGAAATATCACGCGAAGTGGTGGGCGGTGAGAACGGGCCGAATAATAGCCAAACTCAAAATTTCATCGAACATATCTGAGGAGGTTAATGCACGCCATCAAGGATCTCGAAAATTCATGTTACATAGTGTGCAATAGTTCGCGCTTCTAAACAACTGCTGTGTTTTCGACAATACAATAAACTGTGCGGCGAAAGAAATAATCACACACCTTAAATGGAGTTTATATACTCAGATTTCGATCTCGTATCGTGGGAAAAATTCCAGACGGATGGAGAAACCTAAAGACAAGATACAGACTCATGGCTTACTTCGATTCCAGCGGTCTTCGATAATCTAAAGCAAATGAGTCATTCAAACGGGATTTCAGCAGCAGTAGCACCAATAACCACATGGAGTTGCCTAACTTGCAGATGCATCTGAATTAGCCGAATCGGAATTGCTGTACCCCAGCAGTCAAATCTTTTCTAAAGCCAAAAAGGTAAAATCTGCAATTATACCACAAGTGTATCCATCGCACTCAAAGTGGTTCACTGTATTGTGCATGGAAGGTGCAGCCACCATACTGAAACTTAAAGAAATTGGCTAATAAAACCGATATATCATTGCTGATTGTGATGCTGTTGCTTCATGCAACATCAGCATCATGCCGCCAAGAATTTTCCGTAATTCATTTCTTCCTAACTTAATTCCTCGAGTCTAAATAGAGTGAACATATACACAAACATTGGCACACTGGGGGATGCGCAAACCATTTGGTTATTCTCAGTCAACCAGTGATCCAACCATTGTTAACGAATAAATCCTCATTGAATGCCACCTCACTGCATATCCTACCGTTTTTATTCATGCGGTTTGATAGTACTTAGGCATGTATATCTCGAGACGCTCTATGCTATGTCAAGTGCTACTTCTTTGCTATGCACGGATTGAAACACATTTTTTTCATTTAAAACTGATGGCTGGTTCTGCAGACGTATCCTGAAGGTTTCGCACAGTTGTTTCTACTCAGGTTGAAAACACAGTGGTCAGGTCAAACAACGACGTTTCAGCTGCAGAAAATAGTTTTCCGCCCTTTTTTCCCTTTCACATTTGCGATTTCTATTCCAAAAATGAAACAGTTTTCTTCTCCATTATTGATTCAGACCGTCGAATTTCAAGTGGTCTTATATGGTACAGCCGAAAATGCGACTTCATAAAACTGGAAACTAGCAAAATATACTCATTTGCAAACTAATTTGGTCTTTCGATATATTCGACTGGAACCAAGCGGAATCTCCCAGTTGTGATGTTTACAGGCAGTTGATTGTGCTGCACCGGTCCGCCTCATGTCTCAGTCACTACGACATTTGAGAGATTAAGATACACTACTCATAAGGTTGCTGAAAACTCCTCGGCAGCCCACGACCGGTTTCGCCCTTCCACTTCGGGCTCATCAGGTAGGCGCAGTCCCCGAGTTTCCGTCAACCTTATCATCTACTTGAACCCGAATTGCACTGTTTTCGAGAAATACACTCATCTGCAAATCAATTTGGTTTTCACGGGAGACTCAATTGAATCTCTCGTTTATGCTGTTCTCCAGCTGAATGTGCTGCACACAGGCCGCCTCATGATTCATTTGGCACGATATTCGAGATATCGAAGTATATTTTCATAAAGGAAACTACTCACATGGTTGCTGAAAACTCTTTGACAGCCCACGACCGGTTTCGCTCTTCTTGGGCCACATCAGGTAGGCGCAGTCCCTGAGTTTCCGTCAACCTTATGTTTTATCCGTTCCGTTAATACTGTGCGCTATTCAAACAATTCTGGTGAAAAATACTCTATTTGAAAGAAATTCTCCACAAGGTCTACCGCCGGACACACATTCCATCCACAAATTATTGTGTTCAATATCTTTACAGGGCTTCCATGAATATTCATCCCATTACGAGTGCTCTCGTGTTGACTTACGACAAATTCCCATCCTCAACATCGCCAAAAGGATTCACCATTTTGGAATAATTCTATTCCGCTTGTGATTAAATAACTCGTGAATTTCCTGAAATTTTGGCAAAGGTCTTGAAAAGCTTATTTATAACAACATGAGATGCAAAATCTTCCTACTACATTCTTTTAATGTTACAGCAGCCACCATTTGAGCACAGCTACCAACTGTTGCATGTCACTGAAATATCTCTCCCTAAACTCTCTGGATTAACGCATTACCATACTTTATATTTCAAGGTTGCACTTAAAGCGTTTACTTACAGCATTTGCTCGTGGGGGTAAATTTGGTAACTTGTGAGACCGTACAGGCGCCGAAGATCTGTAGCTTGCTGACGCTTCTTCGTGGGGCAGTTTTGGATATTCTGGCGAGACCTGTTGCTGAACTAATCGGTGACAAGACTTTGTAGATGGCATGCCGCCTGTCATGTTCTCCTGCCATTCGTGCGTGTAAAAGGGTGCAGATCGGTGCAGTTCCGGAGGCATACACGACACAATTCTCGGTCGAGTGCAGTTTGGAGATATCTGCTGCATAAACCGTACGCTAGGATCTGCAAAATATTGAATTCGGTTACGTCGTTTGTTAGGGCTTCGGTTGAAAACAGATTCAGTTACCAAAGGGCTATTTTTTGTACAATATTTATAGCTGTTACACTAGACCTGTTACATTACATTCAGTAGAACTTCCATGCGTTTGCCAGCAGATTGCGTAACTGAAAACATTTTCATCGGCCAGATTCAACAGCGGCGCGTAATACTATGTGTCAGAATACACTTTCCGTCCGTGTTCTGATGTCTCCAAAAATTTTAAGTATTTAGGACATGTGACGGTGAAACCAAAATAAAGTATCAAATTTCTCCACCGCACTTGAAGTGCAGAGATCAAAATGTTGTCAGTAACAGTATTGTCCAAACCCTCTGTCCATGTAAGAGTTTAATCAGCGCTTATATCTTCAACTTTTAGTAGCCTTACAAGAAGGATTGTGCATAGGCATCCAGGTGGATTGTCAACAAATTTACATAATATTATGAGTTGCAATGCCTTTAGATCGACAGAGCATTCAAGAACTCCTTGATGTGTCAGCTGAAACACTCAAAAAGATCCACAGTATCCTCATATTATTACGGTAATATAAGTATTTTATTCGAACATGCAAGCATGTGTGACCATCCCATAGAACGGAATGGATAAGAACAAGAGCACTGGTACGCTTTCAACTCCTACAACTTTGACTCGAACTTTTAGCTTCCTGCGTATTCCAAATATTTCGATAGGAAATTACCGTTCTTCTTTTTCTTCAAGTCGTTTGACAATCACGGTTCGGGCTGTTCCCATTGTAGCACTTTTTGTTTCTTAACTGTTGGATTGCACCATCCAAAAACGCCCCATCCCTTCTTGAGAAGACTCATTCTTCCTTACTCACGCTTCCTTTATCGAATTAACACACTAGGAGTATTTTAACCGTTACATTGATTTTGGTGTCCCACGGTCATCGACCGTTTCTGCGTGCAGACAGCGTTGTTACTATTATGGGAGTTAAAAATCAGTCTTCCAATGTATGGTTGCATGGACAACACGTAACCCCGGACGATACAGAATTTTTCACAATCAGTATTGTATTACGGATTGAAGCGTTGAAGTTTTGAACTTGCTGTAGAACCTAATTTTACAGAATTCTAGCTTTAGTGTGTTTCACAACACCTTCGTCTGCGCTTCTAAGTTGACAACTACAAAACATATGTTGCTAGGGGATATCTAAAAGGACATCGGCATGCTACTAAGTTGAGCAATGTACATACGTGATGAGATTAGGAATGTACCAGCTGATTTGTTTCCTCATTAGTCCTTAGACGTAAATTAGTCATGAGAATTTCGTGGTGAATACCCATTCAGACAAGCACACAAATTCAATAAGAATGGCACGTGTTTTACCTCGAAAGGTTTCATTGGTTACATGTTTGCATCCAAATGTTGAACCTTATTAGGATGCAATAATTGCAAAAAAATGTTCGATAAAACTTCCGAGGTGCGTGGCCATTCTATATAGTGCTGCCGTTGAGATTACACATGTATAGGTCCTCTAAATCATTGGATATGCCCGTCTTGTAAAGTGGCATTGTTCAGGTGTACATCCCCGACAGAGATGCCTATGATTATCACATGTCGCTGCTATCAGAGAATTACATTTTTTTTCCAGATAACCATCCCGATTAACTGCTGTTCTGTGTTCATACAATCCAATTGTATTTGATGACAAGACAAAACCAGCTTTTATGCAAGAATCCAACGGATCGATTTTCAATACATTCAACAGTGGCAACGTAGATGACAAGTAAACTGATTGCGGATTTGAATGAGCAAGACGGAGCCAGTTTTGTACGTTAGTCCCCAAAATATGAATGTAACGGTGATGCTACTGATGGAGAGGTACGCGAGTATTATGTGTTGTTCGTAGAATTTCGCTTTGCGTCTTTTGAAAAGGGGAGACCTGTTGCGGAATTCGTGGAGCCACTTTTTAACGTTTGCTTGAATGTGACCGACGAATGAGTGGAGTCAATGAATCTCCAGGAAAGTTCAAGAAGACGCGTTCGTGAGAAGACGGGTGTCCAGTTTTTGTAAATAAGATGCAAATTGGAGTTTTGCTTCCCTGTTCAATGGTCCGTAACCAGTTAGTTGGCATTTCGAATAAATAACCCGCAGCGAAGGCCTGTTGCCTTTCCTGAGTAGCCACCATGACAGCAGAGTGCCTCAGTTAGGCCATTCATATATCTATGAATGGTGACCTCGTCCGTTCTCCAATAATAAACCACTAAAAGCATTCCATTGTTTACACAACTTCATCCTCTTTTGCTAAAACTGACTTTTGTCCCCTGAATGTACCAAATTTGCCGAATAATCTGTTCTTTGGTCAATAAAAAATGTGATACCGAGGCGGTCTTATAACTTAGTATATGTTTGTGTACAAATTCAAAGGAACAAACTCATGTGAGGTACCTCCCTGAGGAGGAGTTTATTTTCATCTAAGAACCTTTAGGATTAACAATATGATGGGAAAATTTTGGTATGCTAATTTGTCGTCACCCTAATATGTGCCTAGTCTGGGTTTCAGAGATAAAACTTAATCCCCTACTAAGAGATCTAGCAGGGTACGATGTTCAAGAGCAGCTTATATCCTGAAAGAATTACTGTGTTTGGATAGACTATGCATGTGCCAAGTAATCTCAGCGCAGCCGAGCCGGATAACAATTGTTTAACCTTTCTCGTATATCAAGAAATCGGCTGTGTATAAACGTTTCTCAGATTTAGTGAACATTTTGCAACACGCTCCTGATGACGGCTACACTAGTCTCGAAACCATTTTTATCTGTACCCACATACCGTTCCGTTGCGTTGTCAAAATTGCCCTTCTTGATGTGCTTCTGCTCGGACGAATAAAGTGGTGGCCCTCTACCTGAGCATCCCTTCCAGGGCTTGAAGATCCAGATGCCGCATGAAGTTCGTCGCGCAATTCTTCAGTCACAGGAATATCCAAGGAGAAGCTCTTGCACGAGAGCAGCTTGCGCCCTGCAGAGAAAATTTCACAGAACTCGTCTTTATGAGTCAAGGGATTTGAGCAACGTGTAAATATCATTTCATGCTATATGTAGCCCGTGGCACATGTTGTATGGTTTATCGCATTACGTAATGCTTTACGGTGAACCCATCACCTTGGATAAATAATAAAGGAATTTCCAAGAGGTTTGAGATCTCAAGAGTACTTTGTGCCCAATCAAGTTCAGGTAGGACATAACACAAGGTCAAAATTGAGTGGCTTTGTTGAGTTCTCACATTGCCTCACGTGTTCGGTACTCAAAAAACACAAAACGCTGGTTAGCGATAAAATGCGTTGATCTTTTGTTTTACATCCTTTTCATCCTCCACCGTATGGCGGGCTGTTTGGGCTATCTTTCGAGTCATGATGCAAGAACATGTGAGCGGGAACACTTTACCCAAGTGAGAAGGACTGATAAGTTGATCAAAATAACACAGACAAAACATTGCTACTTATATCAGAAGCCACTACTTTATTTATCACTTTAGACTCTTAAAATACTAGTTACCTGCGTCAAATGTTTTAGAATATTCAGGTGGCCATCCAGTAAATATACTGGAAAATCTTGAACAACATGTGTGGACTGAAGTCAGTTCGCTCAGAATATTTTTGTGTACCTGTCAAATGCTGGTCAGTCAAATGAGTACAAAATGGAACAGATAGGACCAATAATGATAAAAAAATATATCGGACTGTGAAGTACCCCATAAAAGAACTATTTCATGAGAACAGAAAGTAGTTATTTTGGACTGACATCCGTGTCTTATGCTATCAACGGCATCAATTTCCACCTAGTGGGTAACTGATCAAAATCGTCAGAGCAAAGTAAATTTGGAAGCAATAAATACAAGGTTTGGATGCTGATCGCATGTTTTTACAGAGCAAAGTGAGAATGGATGATTGCGCGTTCCTAAAACGGGTTCAAAAATCCTTGGAACTATCGATAATTTGACCGGAACGTCGTTGATATGGCGTTTATAACATCAAATCTAAACCAGAAAAACGAATGAAGGTTGGAAACAAGCGTGATGACGAGTAATTCAAAGGCTCAGCATGAATGTAAAATGGAATATCATCATAGCAGACAGCAAGTGTAGCTCTCATAGTTACGAGCCCCCATAAATTTAGAATGCAACATTTATCTTAGTACTCTGTGATTACCACAGGCAACGTGCTTGCAATTGCTACACTGGTTTTCACTGTACTGTTGTTAACAACTTGATGACGAAATGGTGATGCCTAGGCTTTATTTGCTCCAGGTGTTATTCAGTTATTGGGTGCATCGCTGACGTCGACAGTTTATTGAGTAGTTAACTAGGCAAATAAAAAAACACTTGCTTTGAATAATGTTGTGGTCCTACCAACCAACATGCATAGTGATAACAGTGAAGGTCCGTGTGCATGATACACTTGTGAACTTTTGGCACTGTTTTCGGAGAGAATGTGAACACTTCTCTAATTTACAGCACATTAATTGCAACAAACATTTGCTTATAGCTGTTGACTCGTAATTTCTTGTTATTTCTTTTAATGCTCGGTACTCTGCTACTCAACACAAATAGATACAGTATATTATATACAGCGTATCTGTATGTAGAATATCTTATGCAATGTGATGCTTAAACTCAATGGTTTGTGAGGTTACACAGGTTAGTCTGAGGACGCTCTTTTGATTTTTTTCTTAGTTTAGCTGCTAATCCTTTGAAGTTGCACCAGTATAATTCGTGACTTCCTAAGCTCACCGTTGTAAATACAATAACTAATGAACATATTTGATCACCTAATGAACATCAGTGTGCTGGTTTAAGGGGCATAATTGTACCAAGTTCTAACACGAATACTCACCACGAGGTATCACGTGCGGTGTGCGTTCTTTATAGCGTGGCATGTGACACTCCACGTTGTTCGAAATTCTTGTCCTTGAACCGCCGGATGACGAGGATGTCATCATTGTATCTCCCCTTGCATAGTCCGAGTGATGCGTCGACGGGTGTCTTTCGGGATAGAAGGAGGTGTCTGGTTCGGTTTTGTCCTCTGTAGAAAAACTTTTTAATCGGTATGCTAGCGGCATGCGTTGTTGACGGTGTGAATAAGCTGTGATATAAACAAGACACATTCTATTAATCACTTAAGTATTTTTAATTTATTGAGATCGTGCAGGCGGTCTTACGTGTACGCTCACGTGTTACTAGCTTTCCCGGTTAACCATCATGTTCTATTTGTGGTCCATTCCCTCGGCTTAAAATACATTATATTTGGTGTGACATAGCTTAAACATACTCCGAGATTAGCAAACTTACCAGCCAAGTAACGGAGCGAGATGGCTTAAGTGGTTAGAGCGCAGATTTACTGACCTGAATGTCTGTGGTTCGAACCCGACCCCTGGCTCTCGACTTCTCCTGTCTAGGCATGGGCAACCTACCAGTATCTCAGCCCTCGTGTTTCCTTCGGGTAGCACTGCACTAAGCACCGGAAGGGTGTTACAGCTGAGCAATTTTTAGCCAAGTAAAGTTATGGTGATCTACTGCATCATAACTTAAAATCTGACTACTAATTTTAAAATTCTTTAAACCAGTTGAGTGAAAATGTTTCCCCATATGGTTTTGGTTTTGGTATCATTCAATAAAGACAAGGTTGTGTCAGCAACGATTTTTTTGTGATGGAATGGTTGACTTAAGACGGAATCGGACAAGCAAATTGTTTTGTGGAACACTTTTAAGTTGAGTTGATGGACGTGTTATGTCAGCTAATACCTAGAGGAAAATCTCTTTACACGGTGAAGAGGCATACTACTTTAGAGTGACAGCACTCAATCGGCCATTAGAATGACTGCCAAAAAGGTTCCGGCAAATCAAAGAGGATTAAGACACATCAAGGAACAGCCAGGCACTTTACAAGGCGGTACATTCCTTGAAGGGCTCTTCATAGCCAACACCACTTTTGGAACTGCAGCTCTTAGGTTTATGTCAACGCCCACTAGTAACAAATCAGAACTGGCTTATCTTTTCCGTGTCAGTTGATAAAGTCAATAATTTACTCTCCCTGTGACAGTACCATGCATACTGCCGCCTGAAATCATCCAGTTATTTGCATCTCTGAAATATCCGACATGTATCTATAAGCTGTCGTAATTGTGTAAGCCCCGGTCTATCGAAATAACTCCCACATGACTTTTGTAAATGTCGTTTGACCGCTTCATTACCATGTAACGCAAGCACAAATTTATCGCTAAGTCCTATCAGTTTAGAATTCTCCCCTTTAAGAGAAAGGTATTTCTATCTTTCAAATAAGATAGACATGATCACAATCGTTTGCAGCACGTGCATGCAGTACATACCTTTTCTATGGATATAGTTGGCACTTCGCATTCTTCGGCTGCGATTCCACGAGGTGGTCATTCTCGCGATATTGTCATCAGTCACAGAAGTACAGTGACTCGGAATCCCATGTAAGTTTTCACTCACTATAACCATTCCCTGTAAACAAATTGACTCTAATTGTGATGTTCGGAATGGATTGACGTATTGTCTCAGGGACGTGTTAACTACATGGTCCCTTTCCAAACGGCGTGTCCAGGTGATGTAAGTATCGTCGCAAAAATTATTTTTCGTGAGCCATGAAATTTGCTGATAGTAAGAGATGATATATTAGAAGCACAAGAATGTCTATTATCAGATTTGATCAAAACTGTGGGTAAGCCATTAAATTTTTCGCCATTTTTGTGGCCAATTTTGTAAGGCTTTTCCTCGAATCCCTCACCATCTTTCTTTTCTTCTAGACTGTGTAAATGAAGAGCCTAAACAAGAGTGCATTCTTCGGTAGACTAGGACCAAAACGTAATTCGATATTGTTGGCCTCTTTGCAGCTTACGATTAAAATGGTGTTTGGAGGGAAAAACAGTTCAAAAATACTGTAAAGAGCAGAATCAAATAAATTTTAGCCGTTTATCTTGTCAACCCACGCACTGTGCAGTTAAGGTTAAAAATATTTTTGGTGCAGACGCACGGATTGAGTATGCCCGATCGTCAACATTTTAAGTTGTATTACAACAAGATTTACTCTAAGTTTCCGGGTTAAGATATAGCTCTGGCGTTTGGCTTTCTCCAGAATGAACTAATTATTAACTACTATCCTGGCATGTTTATCCGTTGGATGAGTCAACGAGGTAATCTTTACCTGGGCTTCTCTGTATGCGTCTCGCTTTCTGAAGTCTATTTTTTGAAGTCCTCGTTGAATTTACCCTAAGTTTTCTCCCCTCAGCTGATACGAAACTTAGAGTAATTTTGTGTCGTAGTCTTTGAGTTTCGACGTTGGTTCTGGCAACGTTTTTGACTTTTTAAAATTTTTAGGCAAAAAGAAGTTCATAGTTTAGATGTTTATAGTCTTGGAACTGGTCATCATCGGTTAGCAGGATGTCCATTAATAGAACTTGGTAGATGACGGTGATCATGGCAACACGATGGAAGCCCATGGATGTTTGACCCGCAGTCTATGATGGCAGATCCATATTGTGTTCGGTGTGAATACCATCAGAATAGACAGTAAATGGTTTTCTAATATTCTCAGTAGAACCTCCCATCTTCGATTACAAATCTGAAGTAAGGCCATTTATTATATCCATGTTTTATCAGTAGGTAGAAATCCCTCATGCTGTTTCAACTCATCTCGTTGTTATGTTATGCAAACAAAATGAGTGACGTGGGCTTTTGACTCAGACCAACCAGCTACACTATTTCTGTGTTCATTTAACTGCAATAAATCGGTGCCGTTCAAAAACAACACAAACAAATAGTGGTACTGTGTCCACATACAAGGAGACCTAATTATAACGTACGTTTTGATGTTCCTGTAGGATGACTGACAGAACGCTCAAACTGAATTTTGATGAATTATAGCTATCTCGCAGTGATCTCAAGCGTCTTATGATCCTGGAGGATAAATAACTTTTACGGAAGATTGTCCTGTTTGACTTCAAAATTTATGACGTCAGTGAAAATGCACAAATTAGAATTTAGGTATCTGAGTCTGTAATTCGCAAAAAACACTCACGTTCTTCTTTGATGGGCGGCGTTACAATTTTGGAAACTTCGTTCCGCGGGTCGCACGGACTGTCCATATCCAGAGAATATTCATTTTCCAGAGTGGGAGCGTCAGTTGAAACATACGAAATTTGCTTCTGTGTACTTTTCAGAGCAACACGACGTGCCGCTGTTCGTTTGTGTTGTTCTGTGAAAACAAATTTATACGAGAAAAAATTGTAGATATATTTGAATGTGTCGGTGTAAAGTTGTGACGGTGCTCTAAATATAATACGTGTAGCGATCAAATTTCACATGCTGTTTGAAAAATGAATATCGGTAAATTTAAACGGTCTCACAATAGCATATCTGGCAGTTCGTGAAAACTATTCGTTCGTCTCTTCGGACATCACGCCTAAATATCCAGGCTTTGTTCAGCACGTTAGGCACAGAACAGAGAGACTTAGGGGAGTCGATGGCAATTCGCGCGTGAGTGCATTTCGCCACTTAAATACAGTTTGCAGTTGAACTTGAAGCTCAGTTCGATGAAAAGTTGAAAGCTACACCCAACCCACGAACTTCAAAAAAGATTGAACCGGAAGCAAATTTCTGAATTGTATTCAGCAATCCAAAAACGTTTTGAATTATGTAATGAACATAGAACTCATCTCTTCGTAGACCAGTAAACATCAATTATTCATTTGAAAATGCCCTCAGATTCATTTTTCGATGCTATTAGAATGTTCTGTAACAACCTGTTACCAAACATTCTGGTAGTAGGGAGAATCTTGTAGTTGTAATCAACAGTCATCCATACAAATAAATTAGATGACCTTTAAAGGCTACAGAAACAAGGTACGTCAGCTTCATCATCAACCCTGAATTTCTCGGGGATCCTTGGTGAATTTGACCTGAATGCTCTCCGGTTGGTAAATGAAGATTCTACGACAAACGCTATACCACAAAGTTAAGGACTGCACGAACCAAAGTTTGCCTCGACATTCTGAGAAGTCAACTAGAAGAACTAACTAGCACATGAAATTATAGTAGTGATAGTGGGAGAACAGGGTTCGCAGCATTGTTTACATAGTAAGTATTAGTAAATTATATGATGTCCACTAATAAGCTGCTAGACAGAATGAAGTGGGACTATTTTTTTCAAAGTATCGTGAGAAGCGCAGCGCTGGTAAATATCCAAGGAGAAGAAACAATCCTATGGTGCTATCTGTGTTTGCAGAATTCAATCTGAACTCTACATGAGATAACTTATAAACAATTACGCTTACCATATGCTAGTAGGGCTTCTTGTGAACGAAACTCGTCTTCGTTAGTGCCAACTACAAGATCCGGCTTTGTTGAGTTTATCCTATAATGCGGATGTTGAGGTGAAGGTTGCAGACTAGCGGCTGGCCCGATTCCCTCGCCTTCGGGTGGCTTGAGGGATGTATTACACTCCGGTGATTCAAGCAACGGGTTGTTGGACTTGAACGTGACAGTTGACATTTTCTTTTTTGATGTCACTCCCGCCGACCGTGAGCTTTCTTCTAAATTGCACAGGAAAGACCATTTTCATCTTGTTGGGGAAATAATAGGAGTTATTCGGCAGAAATGCCAGCTCACTAGAAACTCCAAAACACATGCAAGTTGAGGTGATTAGACCCTATCATTAACTAGTTCAACCCGGTGTTCAAATGAATACTTGAGGTATATCGATGGGTCTGGAGTCCTCGTGAAACTAGCCAAATCTGAAGGGATGCACTCCCAGGGAAAGCCCATCAAAACGGTACCTATTTTCAGAAGTTCCGTGATGCCATTGTGTACTGAAGTGCTTTTGTGTGACCTAGCGCAATGGGTTACTTGTTATGGAAGCCCAATTTCTTACCTTCTTTCACAAAAGCAGCGGCGCAAAGGCCTGTTATAACAGACTTTTCTGACTCCTCAAGGTCCAGTTAAACCTCCACATACATGTTTCACTCGAGGTTGACAGAATAAATGAGGCTCCATTTTAGAGTAAGCCTAAGATTGCAATGGTCGGTGAAACCGCACAAATAACGCAATTATGCCCAATTGAGACTACGAGATTTACACTTGTGTTCCCACTGAGCATATTGCTGTAAACGTTGACTGTGAAAATATCCAATCTAAGGAACTCAAAATTTAGTTCCAGATATACCGGAATGTTTACTCCATTAATGAAGAAACATTTCGATTGGTATTAGAGAAACCAAATGTTGTATTGCTTATCAAGTTTTCTTATGACCAAACGATGATGCTAATTCCACTAATATAAGTAGCTTCTTCAGTAACAATATTTGTGGGATCGGTTCCATGAAACCGTTCAGCAAAACTTGAAGAAGACAAAAACAAAAGGTGGCTGCCCTCAGGTAGTAATAGTGTGTGGTAAATTTTTATGCATTGGCCGAACAATGAAACGGTTTGCTTTCCTTGGCAACTTCGGCTTGGCCAAACAACAGAAAGACATTTCACCACATTTGCGAAAAGTGCACTGCACGAGAATGATAGATTTCTGATTTAAATATAGAGTTTCCTGATAGAAACGTAGCTTATTTTAGGAAGATTGGTTTGCAAATGTTTGGACCTCCAAATGGCAACCAGTTAATCAACTTCCATTAACTAACCTAGAGGCAGCTCCTACTTAAATAGTCAAGAAGTGATTTAGCACCTTGGAAGAAAAACGCCTGCTATGTGGTCTAGTTTTTAGTTGGTTAGAACAATTTTTCTCGCAGATTGTGTACTCAACCCAACTAATCAGGACTATGCGATCGTATCCGCTGTGGATTTAGGCGAAAGCAGAGTTCATCATCATTCAATAAAGTAAATGCTATATATCTATGTATATATGTATTGTAGTATGATGGTTGAAAATTTCCTCCCATTACAAATTTACACACGGAATTCAGTCTCAGAACAGAGTGTTCTAATGACTGAGCAAAGGATACAACAATTTTAGTGGTAGTTGTATTGCTAATAGTCTTGACCCCTCGGAAAACCTTCGTTGCTGTTGAAATAATTATAATCTTACATAATACACACCGTGTATTTGAGCGGCAAACATTGAGCCACCTAAAACTGTTTCTCTGATCTGATCGGTCAGGTTCATATAGGACATGATACTTGTTCTGTGGTTGTGAGAAGCTTGTCTTCATGTTTACGGAATGAAGTCAAGAAGGACGTTGTAAACGAAATAGAACTCTTACCACCGGGGACTTCATTTGTGGAGTACAGACTGAACTCGTAGATAAATGCGCGTAGGGAGCTTAACACAAACGACATCGCTCTTAATTGTCACGCAATTCCAAATATTTGATCAAGGCTTCTCAACTACCTTGATGTAGAGCCGTAGCATAAAACAAAATGTAAATCATATTTTTGCGTATTTCTGAAAAAACCAGTGTACATATTGTCGCAAAACGATCCGGGAGGAAAGTGAATCTTGCCCAAGTCAAAAGTGTACCTGGGTTGTCAAAACAGTAGTATGCGATACAATACCCTTTGCTAAGTGGATACACGTATCCTACGGAGACCAGAGACAGAGAGGAACCAGTCGTACAGCTGACTCAAGAAGCCACATTATCCACGTGCCAAAAATTCTGTTTTCTGTTCCTACGAACGCCTTCTATATGGCTGGAAAACGAATTCGGGAATCAAGTTTAATCACTATGGTAGATACCCATATCTGCATAACTTTTTATTTCCATGCGAGACCTAGGTGAATTCCAGGTGAATGCCGTTCATGGTATCGATCAGTATTACAAGGTCCACATGAATTCAGTTGTGTCTTCCGTCAAAACTAGCGCATGGTTGAGTGCATTTCGCGGATTACCTACAGCTGGAGCACAATCAGGAAATAGGACTGGCGGATCCTCCGAAACTCTGCCCACCTGATGGGCCCCTGGTGTGACAAAACCACTCGTCAGCTATTTGGGAGCGTTCAATAAACTTATGAATTTCGATGTTTAAGTGGTGAAGCATTCGTCCGTTAAAACAAACGAGTGTGGTAAGTAATTAATTCAGTTCTATTTTAACTAACACCTTTGTGACTGTTGTGACGGTTGTATAAGTAAACGTCTCACCTATCATACTGGGTAGTCTCCACCAACAATTTAATCAGACATGCATTCTGGAAGCATACTTATGGACCTAACCACTAACTAACCCTTGGTTGATTGACGTAAGACATGTGCTCATGTTCCGTTGTCCATGGAGTGCACAGCTTCCGAGAAGTAACACATCTTTAGTTTAACTAGTGGTTTACTGGAACTTAGTTTCATCGTGTTATCAAAACCCACAATAATGAAACTGCTTAGTACAACCTCTGAAAAAAATGACTCTTCGAAATTTAGATAAACGTTGCACATTGTCATGTTATTTTTTCAGAAGTTGTTAACGCTCGAAGGATGGGTGATATAAAGGAAATATAACGTCCATTTTGGTCAACAGTTATTCGCAAGTGCTAACTACGTTCATTCAATACGTGGAACACAGCTATTTTTTCCAGATCAACTTGCAGTCAAACAATCGGGTTTGCAAAAATTAGTGTCCACTTTGGTTAACCGAAATTAAACTCGCTAGAGTAGGCAACCAGTTAGTCAGTGAACTTCTTCAGAAGTTTCACAGAACCACCATCCCGCAGCTTTCGGCCGTTGGGCGAGTATAGGATTGTCTAACCTCTGGTCAGTTTGTTTGTTTTCTATTATTCGCCACAATTCGCATCTGATAAACTTGCAGTATCCTTAATTCAAGATCTGGAGGTTCGTTGTTGATATACACTCTCTGGCTTATCTAAGGAAGCAAACCAGAAAACAATCAATCATAACAAGGAAACAAAATATTCACAAGCATTCAGCAACAAACTGCCAAAAACCTAGAGGCTTTTCCTAGCTCTTTAGTCCATGTTCTGAAATATCAGCAGAGCACGCATCAAGAACCTCTGACAAAATCCGAAAGACATAGAGTTCGATCTACCAAGTAGTTGCATTTCTGGCAGCTTCTACTTAAAAGGCGATATTTGCACTTCCTAGCGAACTCAAAAATGCGGTCAGGTGAAATAACCTCTTCCTCAACGAAGGGTGAATTTCGACTAGTCATGTTAGATTTCAGTACCTGTCGGCTGGCACGCCTGGTCAAATATACGTTCATATGGCATATAGTGGCCAGTCCTCATCAATATATATCCGGTATAACTGGAGTCAGAGAGGTATTATCTGCCAAAAAATTCATGATCGAAGCGTTTCTCCTAATAGGTATTTTGTTGAAGACTACCTTAAAAATTGCTCTCCTTTGACAGAAGTACGGACTTTCATCACTCCATGACAAAACGAGTTGCATTTTATGGACGCCAAACAGTTTCATCAGACGAATCATGTTTTTTCGGAACTCCTTTGGAACCTCTAACAGTACTGATTTCTGACCCTAAAATTTTTCGTACTTCATTTCACGCTCAATTCCTCAATTTCCTCGCTCAGTTTCCTCAATTCCCGTAAAATAAATCCAACAGTCGGAAGTTTGAGTGGGATTTATTAGACCCAGTGATGTGTATTTGTTCCAGCGAACTGGTGAATTTTCAACGGCGTAACCCACAGGAAAATGGGTTGTTAAGAAACAGGAATAACAATAACCCCCGTCCACAGTTTTGCCGCACGGGAATTTCCGAAATCGGTGTGATTTTTTTGGTCGCCTTTCCTCATAATAATCCTAACTTTCAGGGGCATAAACGACAGCCCTTCATCTGCTTCTTATTAGAATTATTCACACGGATAATAAGCAGCTAGTTAGTTGCGGCATTTTTTACTCTTCTGACCGTTTGCAATCGGTAAACCTAGTTTTGATTGACCATCCAGACTAAGGGTAGAAAAGCGTAACACTCTGACATTCTGACGAAATTGGAATGATACTGGATAAGGTCATCCGCTCCACGTAATCAGCGTAATTGCGTACATATTGTGGAGTCGATGGTCGCCTGGTTTATGTTAGTGACATTTATCAGCGTGATTTCATATAATTGGACGGAAACGTCATTTTGTTCGTTGCAAACTAAACCAAACCAGCCGTGTCAAATGACACCTGGATAACCAGTAATCAGAGGGCTGATTTGCGTCAGGCGGTAATGAAATTAACGCCAAAAATGTGGATGGCAGTTTAATGACATGGCGTTATCCAATAATCTACACACGTTTGAACAGAGCTTTGAAACACCTAAGTGAATAAAATTGTACCTTTACGGCAGCTTGATCCGTAAATGACTGTACTCATTTCGTACTGGTTTTTCAGTACGAAATTATCATTGAGAAGCGAACACAGTGTTTTTTAGCCACGACAAAATCGAGTTAGTTGCGCGTTTGCAGATTGATCAGTAAATTAGAACGGCGGGAATCTTGTGTCGAAAGTGACCCTAAGGCTACTCTGTGTATTTTACCTCCACTTGAAGGCTTGATTCACTTGAATACAACAGTCTGAGTGAACAAGAGAACGTGGTTTTTTGATTACTGAACACACTGGTGAATATCGGGATCAAATCATTTTT